TCAAGTTGAGCTTCTTTAATAATTTCATCAATTTTTTTATTTTTGCTTGTCCATGGAAGGAGTTCCTTAAACCAGGTGATGTTATAAGAGTGACACCATGCAAAGTTAGTCCTGAAGTTGCATAATGAAATCATTTTTTATGATCAATAATAAAAAGAAAAAATTATAAAAACAAATTTAGTAAATTAAAGAATAATGAGACATAATTTAATGCTAGAAATATATACCGCATCGGTTGGCTGAGTTGCTTTTCTAGCTTTTTCTCGAACCCATGATGACCAATAATTGGGAATTTGGAAAACGCAGGACCCTATGAAATTTATTAATTTAGCATAAAATGCAATTCTTCTCATTTTTTCATTGCTTGCATGTGAATTTAATTGTGAATCTTTTGGAAGCTCTTATTGTATGATTGTGCATGTACACAAGATAAGTGGTGGTTGAGGCATACTTTTAACCCATATTTTGGGGGTATGGATTAGATAATGGGTGTTAGGGCTAGCAAAAATCCCATCCCATTAATATATGAAATGACATTTGTGATTGATGGAATATGGAATGGATTTTAATTTATTAAATATGGGCAACATTATAATAGAATATCGACCATTGGACATGTCACATAATTCATTTGATTAAAGTAAATGGCTTGGATGATTTAGTGAATGAATGAACTAATGCTAACCTGAGTTTGTTCAGAGGAAAAAGATTGACGATTTGAGTCAAGAAGAAATTTGATCGGAGGAAGAATTGTTTGCGATTGCATTTATATTTAAACAAGAATTTTAAGTGTATTTTGTATTTTTTTGAACACACAAGAGAAGAATGACCAATTTTACTACTCTATTTATACTATTATCAATATGTTGATTTGATAGATGAAACAAGAAAATATGAATAACATTCATATCGCAACCTCCAATCACATAAAAATATCAGGATTATTGCTTAATTGGGAAATGATCGTTACACGGGAGAAATTTTTCCCAAGAAATGATCGTCGTGAATTTTTTAATTTCCTAATTGATATGATCGTCGTGTTTCGTTTGCGAGATGTTTTTTGATTTCCTAATTGGGAAATAATCGTCTTCAACGACTTATGTTTTCGCCATGGCTAGGGTACTATGGTATCATCATACATGTACATGTAATGTCACGTGAATTATTGCAGTTCGCTCAACATGACCCTCGGATATTTGACCAAAAATTCCGAAATAGCAATACATGTAGGTTGTCATAATAAATACATGTATGTACCGATTAAATTATTAATACATGTGCAGTACATGTCATGTATATGAAACGGTAATTGAAATTGATTTTTTTATTTCGTATAACGAATTAGACGGAAAAAAATGTAGAAAAATCTATATTAAACGATTCCAGCAACATAAGTTACAAGTGAGAGATTAATTTTCTTTTACAGGAAATTGAACTAAGCCAGATATTTCTAAATCTACTACTCTGTTAAGAAATTAGTTTATTTTATAATAGTTTCCATAGCTATATATATATATATATGTACTCAGTCACCGTTATAAAGGACACTTATCTATAGTGGATTGAGGTTCAGAAACAGTCTATAATAAATTACCGTCAACATATTCATTGATTTTTCTACTAATGAACGACCCGGACTATTATACCATTTTGACTGTACAATAAAATAAAATTTGTTGAATATACCCTAGGTTTGGTGATTAATTGGGTTTGCTCATCGATTAGCAACCATTTTGGAGCAGGTTTTGGCATGCAATTGCATACTTCGTACATACAGTTGAATTGCAGCAAAAAATGAGGATTTATAAGGAAATCTTCATTTGGTGATACATTTTGCGCATAACTGTGAAAGACACTTGAATTATAACAAAATATGAGAATTTATAAGGAAAATTTTTCATCTAATGTTGTTATTATTTTTAGCCTTTTACGTGGATGCTATTGATATTTGCCTAACCTAACTAAAATAATAAATCACATATATTTAGGAAAAATGAGTTCATTTCTCAAAATAATTATTACTATTACCATTATTAGCGTTAGTATTTTATTTTCTCTATGTGATACCATTAACATTGCATCGCTTCAACGCGTAGGAACCAGTGCAGCTTTGATCGATGAAAAAATATATTATATTGGTGGCAGAACAAAAGACATTCACCCTCCAAACGATGATGCATTTCTATTGAATTTATCATCAGACTTTGCAATAAATGATCCAAATTTTACAAATTTTACTCAAGTTTTTGGACTTGAAAATATGGCATCACCTAATTGGACTGCTTGCTTGCCTAGGAAAAGATAATAATACTATATATATATTTGGTGGAACAGATGGATCAAATTCGGTAAAATTTCGAACTCGTTTTTATTTAATCAATCAGTAAAATATTAAATAATCGTTTATTGTCATCGTTAAATTTTAAAAGTCATTACTCGCAACAAACACATTATACAAAATAAGCCGATTCAACGATAATTATCTCACCTGGACAAAAGTTTCATCAACGTGGCCAAGTCAACGAGATGGAATAGTTCTAATTATTGATAATCTTTCAAGCATTTACGTATGGGCTGGACGTAATGTTCAATCAACCTTGATTATACAATGTATATATTTGAATTTGATAATTGGAAAGGCTATACTTTTGATAATGCGCCGATTCCAAGATCATCTTATTCGGCTACGTTATTAAATGATGGCCGAATTATTTATATTGGCGGTCTGAATTCAACCTCAGATCCATTAGTGTTTAATTTTATGGAGGTAATGCGAGCAAAATATTATTATATTGTAGAAATTTATCTAATTCGACCGTTAATTAATCATCCAATTATTAATATTTGATACCACAAAACAAAGCTGACTATTCAAGTAAACTAATCCGTTTAAATACGCGTGCTATACATACATTAATTTATTGAAAATTTTTATTTTAGCCATCCATAAGTGACATAAATATAATAAATCGAGCTTCACATTCAGCATTACTTCGTAATGAAATTTAAAATTTATCTCATAAAGTTATAATAATGTGTAAACTAAAAATGACTAATATTATTTACTTTAAAATAAAGACTCGGATTCCATTTCTATTATTATCTATTGAGGAGGTTACTATAAAGGAGGCGACAATCCTTACGAGCAAATTCCGGAGTCTGACTCAGTATGGATATTTAATACCAAAACTTGGGTCGTGGTCCCGGCCATCAGTTCTAGTGTATCCTACTATATTATGACAAAGGTCATACTGCAGTTATGTATAATGGATATATGATAATAGCTTTAGGTAAATTAGATTTCATTGTTTTTTTTATTCTTTCATATTACATTTCTCTTATTTATCTTAAATTTCATTTTGCAGGAGCGACTCAAGATATTAATAAATATACATCTCAAGTAAAAGTTATGGATGTCACGAATTTAAGCTCACTGGCTTGGGTTCCTACTTACAAAGTAAGGTTACCATCAACCACGACTACTACAAATGCTTCAACTGATGGAACCACTGGAAAAAATCTTGGTCTAATACTTGGAATTGCAATCGGTGGCATCCTTCTTGTTATCACGGTTTTAATGATATTCTTTATATGTCGTCGACGTAGATCGGAGTCTTCTGGAAGACATTCAGAATATTCCGCACATTCGAGCAATGAGCCTATTATTTCACCAACCCAAGTTCAGAATACAGATCCATATAATTTTTATCCTAATCCAGCGTACATGTACTAACAATATCCAAATCAATATTTATATAATAGACAATGATTTTAATTGAATTAGCCATTTAAATTCAAATATACTGATTCTTTGATTTGTAGTTTTCGGTATTTTGATTATTTCATATTCATAAATCGAAAACGGGTCATAAATCAATGCCTCTATTATGTTTTCGCTTTTTGATCTGGCACTAGGAAAAGTTTGTTTATTACGTACTGTAAAGATTGTCGAATATAGTTATCCATGAGACTTATAAAACATATACAATTAATATCAAATACAAATACTTTAAGCATATATCCAAAAATCAAAAAATTTATTATATATCAATCAAAAAATATTATTAAAATACTAATAAGTCAATGAAATTTAAAATAAAATGATTTGATTAATAGATCAAAATCAAAATACACTTTGTTTTTGTCAGGTATTAAATAATATAGAAATCAAGTAGATTCAATATATATGCAGTTTCTATTGAAAGTAATAGTAGAGATTTTTTAAGATATAAAATAATGGAAATATTTTTTTTAAAATATTAATAATAAAACTACAGTGGCAATCAAAAATAATGCAACGCTTAAATTTTTTACTAATTATAATTAGTAAAAAATTTAAGCGTTGCATTATTTTTGATTGCCACTGTATATAACTTTTATTAATGGAATGTCATGAACTGAATTTATTATGTTTTTATTAAATAATATCAAGATTTTAATTAGAATTTTGATTTGAATTAAGCTTAATATAAATTCTGATTTAAAATAATATTATTAATAACATAATTTTTTTAATTTCTTAATTTTACAGACTTATTTTATAGATCATTTTTGATAAATCTTGTATAATTTCACAGATCAATTTTTTTAATTTATAATTTTAATAATATAAATTTAATCATTATTTATATATTTCTTAGATACTTAATTAAATACTTATTAGCTTCTAGATTAGTTACTTATTAGTTATCCATAAGAATCTAGCTTAGTTTCTTGTAAGAATATCTATTAAATATTAATAATTCTATGTATTCTTGAAAATATATAAATATAAATACTTGAAGACTTAAAATAAATATATTTGAAGTTGTATTTTAATTTAATATTAAATTTTAATTATCTTGTAATTGCTTAAGAATCTTATTTTGTTAATTACTTTCATTTATCTTTTCTATTATAATAGATTATATATAATTCATACTTAATTTCTTTATCTCAATAGTATTAATAATTAAAGATCTAACTTAAAATAAGCTATATTTTGATTTATTTTATAAATTAATTTATTATTTGATATATATTTTTATCATTTTTGATTCTTTTACTTGAAAAAATAGTAAAAGAAATTAAACCAATATACTTAATATGTTAATAATAAAACTCTCAAAGAATATTTAAATGTTAAATTTAATAAATTAAGTGGCAATAACAAACTGAGTTTAGCAAAATAACTTGTTGAAGAGATAAAATATATATATAATGCAGGCATTATTCATCAAGATTTGATAAGTTTATATATAACTCTAAGTTTAATTTTATATACCTACTAATTTGAACTGCTTTAAAAGAATCATAATAATATACTTGTGCATAAAAGAAAAATTAAAAATTTCAGGCTTAGACTATTTTAAGCTTCAAGTAAAACTAATTTGGATATGATAAGTTATATTAATCCCATCTTTCTAAGAGATATAGTTAATTTAGATATAATAAAAAATCAGATATTTTTAGCATTGAAATATTATTTTGAATTATCATCAGTAATTATTCTCCTATTAGTCTATATATTTCTTGTTTATCATCAGAAAAGAAAAAAAGAATTTGCAAAATTCCAGATAAATATGTTAGTCTTATCAAGTATATTAGAATAAAATACTAACAAATCATCTAGATATTAATGAAATAAATAACTGACTTAAAGATATAAAATGGCAAATCATATATCAGCTTTAACTTCAGAAAAAATGAATAAAAAAATGATATTTCAGACTATTCAGAAATTTCAAAAAATGAGAAAAATTATAAAATAATTGACAAGCTAGTAATTAATTTAAGTAATTTACTTATTACTTGGCAAAAAGAGTAATTTAGATAAAATTAGTGCCAAATTACAATTTTATTATGACAAATACAAAGAGAATTCTTTTGAAATCCAGAACTATTTTGAAATAAATACTCAGTATATACTAGTCTCAGGATTTCTTTTTCAAACTGGATATATAATTGAAACTTGTATTGAATATTTATGTGAAGTTATCAAATAATAATAACCCTTCAACTCAATACTTGCTAGAAAATATCTATAAAAATGGAATCAAAACACAAAAGATGAGAAAAAAGTATTTTGAATAGCACTTGAAATTAACTGAAAGTGAAAATCCTATTGATCAAAATTATCTTGGTATATGTTATCAAAATGGAATTGGAACACAAAAAGATAAGAAAAAGATGCTTAAAATCAACAAAAAGTGTTATTTAGAGCTTACAATTCTGGTAAAAAAAAACTGACAGTAAATTAAATTTTATTTACTACATCAATTTTTATTTTTATTACTTCAAATTTAAAATATAAATAACTTATCATTACATATTTCATAATATAAATTACTAATATTTAATTTTTTTACCATTATTTTCAATTACTAATTTGAATTAAGTTTTTATACTGATTGCTAAATTAAAATATATATTATGATCAATCTTTTTCCATTTGCTCTTAATAAATTTTTTAAAATTCTTCTATATAACTGATTTTTTTTCACTAATCATTTTATTTACCTTCCTTTCTACCTTTTACTTTATAATTAATTACAGATTCTCTATAGAATTTAGATCTAGTAAATATGATGACTAATTAAGAATACATAGATATTAATTTTTGAGAAGAGAGATCATTTGCTTAGCCATGTGTTTAGGATCATTATCCTATTAAAATACCTATGATCTCTCAAGAATTTGATTAGCTTGTTTAAAAAGATTTTTATGTAGGATTTTATGATATAATTTGCCATCCATATTTTCAGTAAATATGTAAAATCTGATGATTTTTCACATATAAAAAGCATCTTATATATAAACTTTAAAAGGATATTTAATGATTCTATGAACTGGTTTCCTTTTACCAATCTTATAATGAATAAGAATAGTATTGTGAAACATTTAGAAAGAAGTTTCATCAGAAAAAATTATATTTTTCTACTTTTTATATTCATAATCTACTATTCAAGCAAATTAATATATCTTGATAATTTCAGTAAGAAATGGGATAATACAGGAAATACAAACTTGGTAATTAAGCTTCCAGAGATTTTCTCAAACTGTTCTAGCAGTTATATTAAGATATGGATAGGTTTTTTTAATAATTTGATAATTTCAAGACTTGTTACATAGGAACATGATTTTGTAATTTAATCAAGAAATTATTATTTTTCTGGATTTAGATATTTTGAATAACCTGACTGACTTTTTTGTTTTAAATCTTCTGTTTTAGATAGCTGGATAGCTCATCTAAATAGTGTTCTAATAAAAAATCTAGTAATTTTATGTAATATTTTGACTTCTCATATTCTATTTTTTCACAACTCTTTTACTAACAAATAGTATTTTGCAAAAAGAAGTTCATATGATATTATGACATTATTTTAATTAGAATAATTATTATTGTATTTAGATTTTATCAGATTAGCCTGTATGACAAAGAAAGTGTATACAAAAAATTAAATCACATTACCTAATAAAATATTGCACAATTAATTTTTTAAGCATATAATTATTACTATCAGTTTTTTCTACCAGAATTGTAATATTTCAAGATCCAGTAATAAGAAATTTACTATTTAACTATTAGATTTTGATAATTAAATAATAACTTACACTTAATTCATATCACTGAATTTCAAAATAACAAGTCTTAAAAAGATTATTCAAATTATTTAAATTATTAATATTATTAATATTATATATATATATATATTTCTTATTTTATAATTTGAATATATAAATTCTAGAATAATATATTAATATGTATATAATAATAATGGCAAATAAATATTCAAAATAATTTGAATTATCTAAATTTATTCAGTTTATCTAAAGATTCAAAAAGTATTAAATTTGAATTAATCATTTTTATGAATTTTCTTTTGAATATTTAAATAATTCAAAAAATATTTAATTTTATTAAATATTAATATTAGATATTAGCATTGATATTCTTTTTATCTTTATTTTAATATAATAATATCTTATTATCTTACTTCTTATATTCTTGATAAAAAATTAAATAAAATAAATAATACTTATTATACTTATTTATCTATTATATCTTTAAATATTCAAATTAATAATTCAAACTATTATATTAATAATAAAATATGAGTTATTTATTTTTATTATTTTAATATATCTCAAAATTTAAATAATTTTTACATTAATATTTTTGAATGAAATTTTATTTTTGTTCAGTTTTAAAAAATAGTAAATATGAACTATTATTACTTATTACAATATAAAATTAATTATTAACAATTTATTATTTAATTATTATCAAATATATTAGAATTGGAAAATTCTATTTAGTAAAATATAAAAATAATAAATTATAATTACAATAATTTAATTAATTAATATTTTATAATAAAATATAATAAAAGTAAATAATTAAAACTAAATTAATTATTACTTTATATTGTTACGGCGAATCGGTAAGTGGGTTTTCACTTTGATTCACCCTAACAATATAGGGTTGGGAGAGACTGAAATAATAAAAGGTAAAGAGAGGGGAATTAGACTATAACTTTCAATAATGACAAAG